CTATATCTTCACAGAAAGATGTTAGGTATTTGCAACTGTTTTAAACATTTTGTGTATAATATTATGGTGCAGGTTTGTGTGCATGACTTTCCTCTAATAATGCATGGAGATTACAGCAACATAACCAACTCCTAAACACCCTCCATCTTCACACTCTGTTCCCCTAAACCAAAATGACACATGCACGAACAAAAACATGTCCCCAAACACCCCCCCTCCCCACCCCGAACATCTGCCTAATGTCACACCTATTTAATTATTCAACTTGTGAGTGATAATGTAAGATTACATTTATTCACAATTATGCACAAATACATGAAATGCTCTATTCTATATTTCACTTAAAATCAATTCCAGAGTCTCTGAATGTAAAAAAGATATTTAGCGGCGACAATATTCTGCCATTTCATATTATAATCTTCAGCCAAACACTCAGATTCTCCTGTGGTAAACAGTAGAGTTGAAGGGGGCTGAATTTCCAGATGAGCTTATGCTTCCTCGAACACACAGACCACGCAAACCTCTTACAGAGAAGAGGGGGTTTAATCTGTTTCTCTCACCTCTGGGAAAGGTCACGTTCTTTGTTTGGAATGCATGTTTGCATGCACGTTTAGCATTCATGGTGAAACTAGGAATTTTTCACAGCAGGGTGACATTAACTGTGTTTCACAGTGGGAGACGTTAACAAGGCCGTCAGTTAAAATTGACAAACATGGTTGAGAAATTACAGAGGCAGTTTTGAACTTTGGTATTTATTTAGTAATTAGTTATTCATCTAAAATACTCTGGATTTGCAGGAAAACAAAATGTCTTCCTCCGTGGATTGATGAAGCTTATTATGGTGAGCGTGGCCATAAGCCAATAAGGCTAGTGGAATTCTGGGATTCAAATTCGGCTACACACATCCAACATGTGTCCAAGAGGAAACAGCCCCAAATACTGTTAAACAACCATTGCTAGACTCTCATAACATTGCTATCAAAAGCCCCAGAGGCCCAAAACTACTGCAGGGTACATTAACACATCAAGAAGCCAGCCGACAGAAAGAGTGTGAGATGAGTTAATCAAAACTGAAGTCAGTTGTGACGTTCTTTGCTATTCTAAATTCACAGTTCTCATGGAGTTTGATAAGTCCTCAGATTCAGTTCTGTGCTTCAGAAAACTCCAGGGATGATGCTCAGTATTCATATCACTCTTAGGTTCAGGTTGCATTGCAGTGTACCAAACACATCCCCAGCCCCTGCAGTCCTGAACATATGTCTCCCAAAACACTCTTAAAAGCAAGCCAGCATGCAAAAACAAGCTCATGCTGTCGACACACACTGATATCATTACAGATTTAAGAGTTTGAATCAGTATGATCTTTCTGTCCTTTTTCTGTAATAAACAGCTTATGCTGTGTGGTTGCTAGGGTGTTCTAGGTAGTTTCTTACTGAAAAAAGACCACCTTTAAATCTCTATGATATTCTGTACCAACGTGTCTATAATATTGCATTGCTTTGTTCAGGTTTATTCAAAACAGATGAATGTGAATATGCCAATGGTTACATCGATATCATTGCAGTTTGGAAATTAAATGTCCGGTGACTGGCAGTAAAATGTTAATGCTTTATTGCATTTAAAAATAATGAACTACCTAGGCTAAACCCTACCCAAAACATAACCGATAGAGTTAAAGTTAAAATAAATATGCATTACTTTGAAGCAACCACACCAATTTAATTGCTTCTTTGCGTCTTTGAGCTTATTTATCGAGTGATGTATTTCGCAGTACTCAGACCTGTGTGCTCCGCAAGTGCAATGCTGCACCAGGTGAGCTACTGAGCAAGTTTACCATGTCAGAAAAGCCAGACAAACAAGAGCTGGTTATGTGATGCAAATAGTCAAATGTATTTGTTTACAAATCACGCATTATGATAATCTAAGATAATCATGAAAAAAAGTACTGTGCAAAAAACCATGCGAAAACTAAATAATTATTAATTGATAATCTGCGACTGTAATCATATTTGTGTGAAAAGGAAAAAATAGGTAGAGCCTATGTTGTTCTACAAATTCACAACAAACAAGGACCGCTAAAAATCCAGGAACATAAAAACAGTACGGAACTAACAGGACAGGAGGGAGTAAAGGATGGGATAGTAAATCCCAAAACAATCCCATCAATAGGTGTGATGACGCTGCTTGATTGTCTTTTGGATTTCCATGGGACACATGGGGGAAGGGGGCTACACAGTCTACCTGCGGGCAGTGGCGTCTGGTAGAAAGGGAGGGAATTACCGTAGGAAGGAAAAACCATCCAACCTGTTAATGTCCTCTTCCCCCAGCAAGTGCTTGGGCAGCGGGGAATATCGGCCAGGGGAGATGGGCGGAAGACTGGACTTATATTCCAGAGTGCCGTTATTACCGGGGGAAGAGATATGATTTTCCATAGCGGGTGAGAATGCTGTAGAGAGACAGAGAGAGAGTTTATGTTACACACACTGGCTAATCATAATGCTGACTTTAAAAAAAGAAAACATTTCCATTTTACTATTAAATTTCAAAGCATTATTCATTTTTCTCTAGCATTATTCTGGTTTAAGAAAGCATATGTATTACATAATGAAGGGTGAATATGATAAGAATCACTCACAGTGTGTGATATCAGGTGGCCCATAGGGGTCTGAGAGATAGACACTAGTGGGTTTCCCAACCTTAAGGTATACCACATCTGACGTGTTCTTCAATATGGCCACTGCTTCTTCATGGGTCACCTCTTCTAGAGTGTAGTTATTCACCTGGGTGAAAGAGAAAACACGCAAGATGTGTTAAGCGGGCAATCCAGAGTTACGTAAACAGTTACGCTCTAGTGGTCAGTGGCGAATCAGAGCTGCCAAATGTGTCCTGCCCAGTGGATTACACACAGCACTGATCTTGCTAATTAAATCAATCTCAGTCTTAAAGAGTTTAGCAACCCCATTGGATTAAAAGCAATGGAGTTTGACACTGACACTGCAGCGAAACCTCAGGAACGTAATCAGCCAACTATGAATACAGCTCATTTCCCAAAGACCTCTGAGGGCTGTTTCTATGCGATTGGACAGTGGTATTTTTGTTTTGTTTTTGCTTTGTATGAAACATTCAAAAGTTGCCCCAAACTCACACCTCTGGTTGAGCCAATTCGAGCTGCTTAAATAAATTTTTGGGGGAAATAAACAGAAAAATTAACGAAAACTACATAACCTGGGGGCCCTACGCAAAACTGTGTCGGTGGAGTGGGGTATGAGTGGTTATGAACGAATGAATAAAATGCATTTGTCCGTGATTCACTCCGTCTTGAATCGGAAAGCGCTTGACAAACAATGCCTCTTCTGCAGCTCGGTATGCTTTCAACTCATTTTTTTAGTCTCGAGCAAGACTGTACGACATTCACATTACATGATTTGACTGATTTTTTACGTAGAAAGGGCGACAGCGCACCGCATTAAAAGAAATGATCATTCATGTTTTTATAACCGCTGGCCAAATTCAAAAACGAAAATAAAATTAAATCATCTTTAAGAGCAAGGGGGCCCCCTGGTGTTTCGGGGGCCCTACGCAGCTTGCGTATTTTGCGTATAGGGAGGATCGGCTCTGGACTTAAGTAAATTAAAATACTGAAACTAAAATAAAAATAAAATCTAAATTAAATAAAAAAGAGAAAACTAAACCAACTGAAAAGACAAATTGAATAAAATAAAATAAAATCAGAGGTCAATGAGCCGTACCATAAGCAGTCTGTCTCCAACTTGTAACCGTCCATCCTTCTGTGCAGCTCCCTCATCAATGATTTTAGTGACATAAATGCTGTTATCACTCGGGATGTGCTGGTTTCCCACACCACCTGCAATACTGAAGCCGAGCCCTATAGGATTTTGAGAAATGACAAATTAAAAGTGTTAGCTGTGTCCCAATAGATGCAGTGACATCAGACTACCTCTAATTAATCAAACCTATGTCATTCTTTCACACAGAAGCAATGCTGAATCTTTCAGAAATTCATATTAACTGACTATTAGTAATAAACAGTACTCAAAACTCTCTCAGAGCAGATAGAACTGTATACACTTTCCTCAAGCATAATCTAGTTTCTCAGTTTCCTAAAGGTGAAAACAAGTGTTGTACTGTAGAGTGTTTTGGATTTGAGGAGTCTACGGTGCCCGAAGCTCTTCCTCCAAATTTGCTGCTGTGCTGTGTGTGTATGTGTGATGCATCTTCCTCTATGTGCTCTAAATAATGCATCAAAGCTGTCTTTCTCAGGATATAGTTCTGTTTATTGCTCCACCCAAACAAAAACCAGAAAAAGAGGACGTGATAACTCTCAGGCTCAGTGGAGTTTCAAATCTTGATTTGTTTTACATTTATCTCCGCACCCTAGATATGAATGTGTACATGAGTAATAGCCTATTTTCTTTTATAACAGCAGAAATCAGAAAAAAAAAAAAATATTGGATGCAATCTAGGAATGTGCAAAACCATGAACAAACAAAACTAATGTAAAAATGATTTTTTGCAGAGCAGTCAACAACCGTGACACCTCCCTAATGCAAATGGTGACAAACAGCTCAGGTAACAGATGGGTTTTTACGGTAATTGTAAATCTGAAACCTTTTGGTCCTTTTATGAGTTTGATTTCGGTGACGGTTTCCAGCATTGGTCTCCTCCTGCGCACATAGAGCCTCACAATCGATCCGGCCACTTTCAGAGCCTCCACTGCCTTACTGTGAGACACCTCGGAGACATCTGCGTCGTTCACACGCAAAATACAGTCATTCACTCTGCGGAGAGAAATAAGAGCGAGGAGTGAGTTTTCAGGAGTCCTCAGTGTGTGGTGAGCCTCCTGCAGAGAGTTCCAGATCACAGCAGCCTGTGGTCCAAGGACAGCCGCCTCCTGGGGCATGCTCACATAGAGCAGCTGAGACCCAGCAAACAAGCACACACACTCAACCAAACCATAAGCACACACACGCACACATGTATATATGGAATATATACACAACGGACTCACCATAAAGCTGAATAGTGTTCAACAACTCAATTTAGTCAGTTTAACATGATGCCTATGGCAACCATGATGATTACGTTTACTAATAATGAATTAAATATGATACATATTAAAAATGATCTTTACATTAATTTGACAATTTTTAACATTTTAATATTTTATAAATGTTTATATGAGTGTTGTTAGTGTATTGCTATTTTTAACTAAAACTTAAAACTATTAAAAACATTTTAGGTAACTGAAATAAAGCTAAAATAAAAAGCTGAAGTTGAAGTATTAAAATTACAAACACTAAAACCAACATAAAAAATAAATTAATGCTATATAGAAATATTGAAAAAATAAAAACAACAGAAACTAATACAAATAACAAAAGTGAATAACAAAAATACTAGAACGAATATAATATATATAAAAAGCTAATTCAAAATATTAATAAAAACTATAACAGTATATTAATACTTAAATAACATACAAACACATATTATCTCATATGATTTATTTATTTTTAGTTAATTATTATATTATTTTTAATATAAAACTATATAATAAATTATTTAAGTTTTAATTGTAATACATTTATATATATATATATATATATATATATAAAAACCCTTTTGTTTTGTTTTCTAAATAAAAAGTCCCAAAATGTTCATTTTGCTGAACATAAGCATCCTGTCGTTTTCCCATGCATCCCTCTCCTCTAACTATGCACAGAAATGGCTTATTCCTGTCACTGGTCCCGATTTAGGTAATTAAAGTCTGATCATAAATGTACTATATCCAATATAGAATCTCAGATACAACTTCCTGTTCCTTTGCGCCTCCAAACTTTAAAGCCTGCATGATTTATCCAAAGACCGTTCCGCTTCCAACACTACCAAAGTCAAACAAGGGTAGAGCAGAAAAAAAACCCATACACAATGTAATTGCTTCTCTAAATGCTGTTCACCTCCAACTCACAATAAATCTATCACAGCTTATTGGCGAATGTTCAAAGTGTCGTATTCTTTTAAAAGAGAGAATGCAGAATATGGGGTGGACGGGAAGGGGAATGGAAAGAGAAAGAGAGAGAAAGACACTTGCGGGCATAAGGCAGAATACTGAACATTAAAGTGGTGCAACTTGCCCAAAGAAAACAAGCAAGAGGAGGATTGGTGATGCTCCGAGCCCTGACAGATCTGATTGAGAACGAGAGGATAAAAGAAAACAGCCAAGTCATGGAGAAGAGCAGGGCAAAAGGCTCAGACTGGGCTGTCACACGCAGCTGCTGTTCGGAGCGCCGCACACACATGCATACAAAACACAGGAAGATATGCTCCAGCACAATCTAATTATGCTTCCCTCTAATAAAACAACCCTCTCAATCAACTCCTGAACGGCCCTGACATGAATTTCAAACACATCCAGCCAGGAACAGAAACTCTACAGCTCACCAATATCAATTAAACCTTCAACCTCTTCAGAAATAACCAGAGGAAAAACGTATGTGGACCAAGGGTCAATTTTTCGAAATTGAGATTTATACATCATCTGAAAGCTGAATAAATAAGCTTTCCATTGATGTGTGGTTTGTTAGGATAGGATTTTTGGAATCTGAGGGTGCAAAATAATCTAAATATTGAGAAAATCGCCTTTATAGTTGTCCAAATGAAGTTCTTAGCAATGCATATTAGTAATCAAAAATTAAGTTTTAATATATTTACAGTAGGAAATTTACAAAATATCTTCATGGAACATGATCTTTACTTAATATCCTAATGATTTTTGGCATAAAGAAAAATCAATAATTTTGACCCATACAATGTATTTTTGGCTATTGCTACAAATATACCACAGCGACTTAAGACTGCTTTTGTGGTCCAGGGTCACATATCTTGTAAGTTCCACAAAAGAAAGAAAGTCATACAGGTATGGAACAACATGAGGGTGAGTAAACGATACAATTCAAATTTTTAGGGTGAACTATCCCTTTAATTTCATTGCTTTCATTTACTATTCCTTCTGTAAGGTGTCACAAAAACATTTCTTTAAAAATAAACTCACAAAATAAAGAAAAGAATCTTTGAATCTTGAATATTTACATAAAATGGATAATGCATACTTGTTTGTTTTTACCCTGTGGAAGACTGACATGATCTGAAAGTGATTTGGTCAGGTCTATGCGTTATACCCACATACGTCACCTCAGACCTCGCAGATGGTACATTTTTTAAAGTACCTCGCAGTCAGAGTGTGAGGCAGACAGCAGAAAACTTCAAGTACTTCAGCTCTCCAGAGAGACATTAGGACTGTGATAAACAGCCATGTTTCAATCATTTACAGCAGCGAGAGGTAAAGGGGGGGAAGGAAACAGAGCGAGGGAGGAGGAGAGAAAGACATTGCTCTACAAAGCCAGAGCAACAAGCGAGGTCATTATGTTTCGAAAAAAAGAAAATTACCTAGTGATCTACTGAATTTATCTAAATCTTAGTAACAGTATTATTTCCTCTGACAATCCATCAATTGATCAAAATATTTAAAATAAACTCATTATCACTTCAATAATGGACATAAAATAAGTGCTTTACATACACTCAGAAATAAAGGTTCCAAAAGTTTTTTTTTTGTGCAGCAATGACATAGTAGAACCATTTTGGGTTCCCCAAGGAACCTTTCAGTGAACAGTTCTTAAAGGTCCCATGGCATGAAAATTTCACTTTATGAGGTTTTTTAACATTAATATAAAAGCAGCATGTCATGGGACCTTTAAAAGAAACACTTTTTCTTATTAGTGTGAAGAACATTTTAATGGTCTAAAGAACCTTTTTCCACTAAAAATAACTTTTTTTGTACAACTGAATGGTTTTATGGATGTCAAAGGTTCTTCAAGGAACCATAGATGCCAATAAAGAACCTTTACTTTTAAGTGTGCATTATATTTTTAGCACTGACATACAAAACTTGCATGTAGCACAACAAACAAATGTGTGCTACGAAACACCAGCCCACCTGAGTCTGCCATCTTCAGCCGCCGCTCCTCCAGGGATGATCTTTGTGATGAAGATCCCAGGATCATCGCCGATGTGAGGGTTATCTGTACCACCTGCTATACTAAACCCCAACCCTGAGTTACCCTGAAGAGACACACACACACACACACACACACACACACACACAGAGGAATATATGAAAGATGGACTGGCCCTTTATTAGACCTTTGCCTCAGTGAAAAGAGCCTGAATAACAGAACCACAATAGAATGAACGAAAAGAGAGAAGCGAGAGAACATTATTTTTTGTAGGAGGTGCACTTTGCTACCCATGACTCATCAGTGTTTACAGTTTGGCACGCCATGCGCCTCTGAGCAGCACAAACTCCCAAATCAAAACCTGTCACAACTGTGGGCTACAGCCACATTTAACATCTCTGAGACGTAAATAGACTAACAGGCTAATATTTTGAAGTGAATTGTTTATGATGGGACTCTCCAGGGTGCTGCCTTGGTATAATACACAGGCTTTTAAGCTTTAAACAAAGTGGATCATAAGGAGAATTCATCTTTGCTGATTAGCAAAGGTTGTATGAAAATGCAATACCAAAACTTTAGCATCAGGGTGGAGAGATGGTTTTAAAGTGAAAGAAAGAGAGAGAGAAATGGGTGACAATAACAGATCAGTCCCTAGCAGCAGAGTTATCGCCTCGGCTTGTATCCAATTTTCTAGCTTGTAATCTCAGTTGAGTCTGCAGGAGCCCCTGAATATACACTCTCAGCCTCCTGGCTCCAGGGTCGGACAAATCTGCACTCCCTCTGGTCTAGTTGACCTTTGCTATTGTCCGTGCTCTGTGTCTAGTCATGTGGATCCGACTGCAACTGCCAGAATGTCATCTGCAGCCGTCTAATTCTCTCTCTCTTTCCCTCTCTCACACTGCCTCTACTGTGCACCCCAGGCTTTCACTTGCAAATAAAGCATATACAGTGGCCCAATTAAGAGGGTTCTGTGAAATCTGTCCAAATTAAAGCTTCAGTAATAGTTTCTAATAGTAATTAGAAGAAAACATTTTAGATGAAGACTGTTAATATTATGGTCAGGCAATTTCCCTTTTTTGAGAGCTTTTCCACATAGTGACTTTTGTGACATTACTAATCACAAGCTAAGCTCATTCTGTAACTGGTCATGTTTGATGGTTATGTTTCAAGATCATGCTCACAAGGCAAGCTGTGAATGACTGGATTATCAGGCACAAGAATCCACACAAGCATAAAATATGACGTGCTCAACTCAACTCTGAGTCTACGTATCTATGGATGTGTACTGTGAGAGAGAGAGACAGACACTTACCCGCTCTAATGTAATCTCTTCAAATTCATATTCAATTTCTGTCCCATTTACCTATTGGAGGGGGGGAAAAAATCCCATTAGATATGTTCGGAGATGCAATTCAAAGAGTGTATTAATCATTTAACCGTCACACGAAATATCTAACTGTGATGCCACAATGACATCCTAAACCGGCAGCAGCTAAATGATGTGGAAAGAGGTTCATAACAGTTCAAAACATTTTGTGAGAGCTAAAGGACTAAATTGAAACCTCTGAGATTAATGATATGTCAAATAACCTCTTAAAAACATCAGCATTCAACTCATCCTCCTTGAATGAATCAGGAACGGGGCTTTCATACATCTTGAGCAGACGTTGAGCCTCGTATCTATTCAGTTCACCGCATGAGCTGTAATTGTCTAAATGTGAGCTTGGACACTATAATCCATAATCATTTACCTGCTTGTACAATGGGACCAGGCCTCTGGGGCAGACATGCTGGCTTAAGCAGGCCTTTGGAGATGAATTTATACTGAACGTACAGCTAGAAATGGCAATGAAAGACAACTAATCCAATTTCAAGTTCAGTTTCAAATGAGGGTCATCTTCGTGCTTGATTGGAGACATTCATCTTAATTATTCTTTAATAAGTGAAGCACATGTAGTTTCTGTAAGGCGCTCTAATACATGCTAAAGAGTTTTTCAAGCAGTATGGCTGCTCTCACGTTCATATTTTGATCATACAAACATGCTCCACAGTCAACTGTTTCAGAAGAACTACAAGGACCTGTCTACAATGTACACCGAAACTATAAAAGAAAAAATTACTAAAATGTCCCTGGTCTAACTGATTCATCAAAAAAAAATAAAAAAATTGTTAACTATAATATCAATAATTATTATTATATTATAGTTACATATTATATATTATTATCTATTTTTATATATAGTTCAAAAGATTTTTTAATGTTTTTAAAAGAGTATCTTATTCTCACAAGGCAGCATTTATTTGACCAAAAATACAGTAAACCAGTAATATTGTGAAATTTTACTACAATTTAAAATAACTGTAGCAGAAATGCGTGGCTTGTTTTCATTTATTTTTTGCATTAAGTGCACTCTATTGAAACACAATTTGTGTATGTTTTTACAATGTTTTACAACTATTAAACAATTAATTTTTTTAACTATTAAAAACAATTTTATTTTCTATAACCAGCATAATTTCACAGGTGCTATCCACAGAGCGTGTTGTGAACAAGGACATTTTATGTTGAAGTGCCTCGTCGATAATAAGGCAGCCTTGGCATTTACAGTGAGTGTGCATGTTTCACATTTTGACTTTTTTAATACTGAAGGGAGTATTTCAGAGAGCCGGAGAAAGAGAAACAGTCATTCATGGCTAATTGAAACCCAGTGAACTAGCTCATTTATGCCTCAGCCACCTCAGCTGTTCAACAGAGAGAAAGAGAGATATAGCTGAATACTGTCTCACTGCTCTCCTCAGAGCGACATGACCTTTCATTTACAGCATAAGTTGGAAGCCTCTAGACTACACCTGCTCTTAAACATGAGGACCAAACAGATGTCAAGAGCGCAGAGCCGAACGGGGAGCATCTCACTCCACAACATTTCTCAAATGAATTCATTTGTTGAATTCTGGCTGACACTCATCAGTCATGCAGGAAGATTCGGTAACATATTTAGTTGGTCCTGAGTCAACACCAGGATGAAGGGGCATCTGGAATCCTGGATTGGGCACAAATGAACCCAAATGCTAAATGCTAAAATTTGTGGTTCTCTTCATACATGATTAGCGATTTCATATGACTGCTTACTGATACAGTGGTGTGAACATCACTATAGAGTGATAAGGGTCAATATCAAGTTCAAACTCCCAATGACTTTACTTTAAGAAACCATGTAATATAGAAACTCAGTGTCAGTGGATGCAGACTATATTAGCACAGGGATCCCCAAAGAACACTACCAGCCAAGATGAATGCCTACATCATGCTCTGCAACTGCTCGAATAGTTTCACAATAAACATAATGAAACAGTTTGGTCAAATACAACATCTGATGTGTCCATTTTTTATTGTCGGTATCAAAATGTTATTTATTCACAGTGCACACAAGTGCTTCTGTTTGACGCTAACTACTCTCTGCAGTTTCATCAACCCTTGTGCGAGAGCTCTTCATTTGAATATGCACACCCTGAATAGGGCTACAAACACAATCAGAGAGATAATTGATGGATCTGATAATTGATGGATGAGCATGAGAAACCAATAAGACGGAGTAAATGAGCTCATTAACAACAGCAGCGCTCATCAGAACAGAACAACACTCCTTATCAACCGACTTAAGACACTGATAAACATACGCACTTCATTTGGTCATTAAGTATGGAGAACTTTTCTTCAGGTTAGGAAAAACATGGCCTTTCCATCTTCCCCCTGAAAAAATGAGCCAATTACTGGGCTTTGAGTGGCATTAGCATTCTGAGCCGCACGGTGTTGCAAATGTGAGACGCTGGGGACCGGGGGAGAGTGCAGCTGCAGAGGGGACGGTGGGAGGGGAGTTCACCATGCAGCATCCGGGGTGTAAAAGCTCACATTAAACTGGTGAGTCACTGCAAATGTGGCACCAAACAAACTCGCGAATGTACGATGTGCTTGAACGCGTTCATCCACACAGCTTGTGCAAACGATGCAGAGCGGGTCATGTTTCCATGACGACTGTTTGACTACAATGCAGGAACTGGGCACTTTTAAGCAGAAGCTTTCCCTTTACAGAGTTTTGGCTGATGGGATGGCATATTTTTACGCCCATCGCAGTGATTAAACACGAAATATCCCTCGGGCCGCGACATAATAAGACTCGGTTTCCTCAAAACACACCCACGTGGACTAATTAGCACTACGGACTAACCACTGTTATTCCTGACAGCTAATGGAAAAAAGGCGCTGTTAAAAGTAGGCAGAAAGGGTCATTTTGCTGAAGCTAGGCGGATGCTATTTAACAGCTACACTGACTCAGTAATGCTTTCTTTAAATACTAATCTTTAGCACTCGTTCTAGATGAGTCTCTAGTCTCTGTTCCCACTACAGTTACAAAGGGAGCACAGTGGAGGCTTCATAATTAACAGCACTTAACCAGATTTCTCAACAGGTCTAAAACTAGGCAACAGTGGGTTGAGTTTTAAACTGTAGTGTCTACTGAATATTCATTGTTTGTGCATATTTCAATTGCAGTATTTTAACTCCGTTTCAAAATTAGTGAAATGTCTTTTCATCTATTGTCTACATATGCAGCCACTTTCTAAAGCAGCATCATGGAACTACACAAATTATCTTTTTTTAGACTGAGTTTAATGTTAACATGTTGCTAAGCTAACAATGCAATACTCTAAAAAGTACACAAAATGCACAAGCAAATACTCAGTAAAACAGTGCATTTGTTTTTACTTGAGATAATCTATTAATACTTTGTGATATCAAATAAAGGACGACTTCAATTAGATTTTTAAAATGTTCTTAAGAAAACGTAAGAAGTGCTCATCAAGGCTGAATTCTATTTAATCAAAAACACAGTAATATTGTGAAATATTATTAAAATTTAAAATAACTGCTTTCTATTTTAATATATTTGAATGTAATTTATTCCTGTCATTGTTTAATGCTCAAGAAACATTTCTACTTATTATTAATGTTGTAAACAGTTGTGCTGCTTAATATCTTTGTGGAAATAGTGGTGCATTTTTTCAGGATTCAAAAGAGCAGCATTTATTTGAATCGTTGAAATGTATTAATCTAACCTAGTCACTTTTGATCTAATCTATTCTTGCTGAAAAAAAGTATTAATTTCTTTAAAGGGGTCATATGACGTTGCTAAAAATAACATTATTTTGTTTATTTGGTGTAATGAAATGTGTTTATGCAGTTTAAGGTTAAAAAAACACATTATTTTCCACATACTGTACATTATTGTTTCTCCTCTATGCCCCGCCTTTCTGAAACGCGTCGATTTTTACAAAGCTCATCGTTCTGAAAAGCGAGGTGTGCTGTGATTGGCCAGCTATCCAGTGCATTGTGATTGGCCGAATACCTCAAGCGTGTGACGGAAATGTTACGCCCCTTACCATACTGTGATGCCGTGTCCGGGCGCGACAAGACAAAACCAGTAAAACCCATTACAAACGAGGCATTTGTTGCATCCAGTGGGGACATAACTACTGATTATAATGACTTATACTGTCTTTTTATACGTTGCGTTGCGTATCACGCCACGTAAACATAAAACCATGTCTGCATTTGTGATCAGAGAAATGACAAACAACAAGTGCTAACGTTAATCCACACTGCCCAAAACTCGCGTTTGAATCATCAGTGGCAAATCCTTTAAATGAAAACGTACTTACGGTCTGTGAGTCAGAACAGCCGGCATTGACGTATCAACTTTTAAATGGTAGTGTACCATTAGTGTGTATGTAGTGTATGTCTGTTATAAACGCTGCCTTAGATTTTGCTCAAAATAAGGTATCTTAGAAACTGTATCTTACACATAACTACTCATCTTTATACCAATATCCTACATTATATTTTCACAACCTTTTTGGAAAGACTGTTTATTTCGACAGCTTTGCCACCTAGCCTACTGAATGTTTCTTTTGCATCAAATTAAATATGGAATCTTCTCTGACTAAGGTCTACTGCACTCCTTTATGTACCTTATTACATCTGACAGCTTCACACACTCTTGCATTTCTTCAACATCTTTCAGAAGCATCAACAGATGGAGACATTTCTCATTTTTTTCATCACTCCAAAGAAAAAAGCTTTTAAGCTTGATTTTCAACTAGCCTTGACAATTCCTTGATAAACAGCACAAAGCTCACGTAACATTTAACCTAAGGCAAATCTACACTAAAGCAACCAAGGTTCCTTTTAATAAAGTGAACAGATGATACTGTGCAGGGTGAGTGAATGTGTGTGTGGGATAAATGTATCGCATGAATACATGAATAATGAGCTTGATTTGGTCCTTTCCCACTGGCTTTACTGCAGCACCTCTCTTTTTTGTCTCTGGAGTCATGTCGGGTCTTTTTATCTCCACAAAGATGACTTGATAACTATTTTACAAGGTGATGAATTTGTATGAGTGTATACGATGTGTGGTTCACCCCTAAATAAAATCGTCACAGATTGTAAACAGATTGTATGAAAACAAAACTCACAAAACTCAGATAGATTGAAGATTAAGTATGTAAATCTAAAACACAGCATATGGTAAATCCCAGTGAAGTCATATCAAACATTTTAGGTTTACAGCACACTAAATACCGTAGTAATGACTTTTCTCAAGTTCTCAGCGAAAAAAAAAAAAAAGGTCAGTGAATCTGTTCTACTTTAGAGATTTGCATTTTGGGAGCACAGAACACACGCACACAGTGTGGTTATAGGCTAAACTCAGAGTGAACACCTGCTTTACTGGAGTAATCCATCAGTGTTTTATTTTCCCAGAACTCCATCTTCTCTTGCTTGTTCTCTTGTATTAGGATATTAGGAGAAGGTCTATCAGAGACAGATTGCTGCTTAAAGCAGCTCATAATCATCGTAATCTCACACATACTCCAACACATGCCCACAGTGGGCTTTAAACTGAGAACAGCAGGGAAAAGAAGAGAGAAAAGCAATTAAACCGTCTTAACAGCATTAGGTGTGCTGCTGGATACTGGATGTCATGGTCGATCTCGCATTATTGACAGAATTACGGCGCATCCACAGTGATCTGGATATGCCTTGATGTTAATATTTCATTACTGAGATGCAGGCAGAGAAACAAGAAATAAATGAAATTATCCTCAGTGAACGTGAAGGGTGTGTGTAAGAGGCATGTTCAACGGAGGAGATTCTTCTAATGAAACAGAGAAACAATAGAGAGAGATTTTCCCTGATGCAGAGGAAGAGACCTTTTAAATCGTCACTTAATCTCATTGCCGTTTAGGAGAAACAACTGAGTGGTTAAAATGATCTCATTTGTGATTTATCTTTCCTATGGGCTGAACAAACAAGCTGAAGCAGAACAAAAAATAATGTTTTGGGTTGTTCTTAAATGGCTGGCCATTTCTGTACGTGGTCAAATGACTTCATTGCAAAAACAGGAAAAAACACAGACAATTATTTTGGAGTTTGCAGGAGACAGACAAAACCTGACTGAAGGTTGACTGAAGGTCAAGCTGTGTTGTTAGTATGTCTGCGTCCGCGAACTCTATGCACTTCGTGCCGAGTGCTTATCGCTTTGTGTTGGTGTCTGATTCAACACTGCTCTCCCCCTCTGTGTTCTTTCATTCACTTCAATCACCTGTTCTGTCATATGCTCAAATCGTGATGTTTCTTCTGCATTTATCTACCTCCTTCACTCTGATCTAAAACATACGAACAGGCAGCGACTTCCTAAGGCAGCATACTAACTGAAATGGCATCTCATAATTAACTGATTTGGAATGCTCTACATAGGTACCAAGCAAAATATGTTTATTTGATCCAATTCCTGTTTTAAACCATTCATCAAATCTCTCTCATATGCTCCACCAAAAAAACAGTTGACTCCATACATTAATATTTCAAACCCCGAAAAGAAAAGCCTGTGCTAATCTAAACCCGCTGATAATCAGTGGCCTCCTTATCTGGTTGATTTATGAAAAGCCATCATTCATTGAATATGTTGATTGTATTTGTGCAGAGTGATAAATGACACTAAATTTATGAAAAGCAAAAAAAGGATGTCAAACTCATTCGCCACTCAGTCTATGTGGGCACTGATCTGATCAAATGGGTGATCTGCAATGTCACAGCAGTGCAAAATGTCATGAACATGCAATAAATAAATGAAAAATCTAAACTCACGTATGGTACAGATTCCAAAGTGTCCGTGTTGACAATAATTGGGGCAGGACTTGCCTGTGAAAAGAGAGAAAGGGAGGGCGAGAGGGATGGACGGAGAGGAAAACAGAAAGAGATAAAGATCAGAGTGGATTGGAGATGCGTGAACTGGCCCAGATTTTAATAAGGGATACAGCAGCGCATGATGGGCACCGCTGAGCTCACAGATGCCATGATGAAGAACACAACTTCAAAACGACAGTCGACAGCAACACCCACTGAAATGGAACACAACGTATTTACAGCACACACACACACACACACACACACACACAGATCGATTAGATGAAGGATGAAAAAACACAGCATCATTTAGGAGTATGATAATTGCTGGGGGAAAAAAAGTTCTTATGAATGTTGAAATTGTTTATGTCTCTCCCTGTTTCTCTCTGGTGCTATTTTGCTAGCTTCTGATGACAACACAAAGTCATTAATTGCTCCCACACAGCAGCGAGGCCAGAAATCTCGGTAGGTGTATGTCTATTCTGTACCTTCTCTGTAATTTTATTGAGTGTTGTGAAGTGTAACCCCTTCATTAGCCTTTATTAGACAATATTAGCTCATTTTACACAGCATAATGTACAGCTGCACAATTCAATGTGCAATAACTGCATACTTAAGCTAAATTTGACCTTTATAGGTAATAATGATATCTGTGGTGCTGGAGGCAAGAATAAATCATGTGAACTACTGCAAAGTGCAAAACAAAACCTGACAAATAAATTTTTCAAACTATATATATATATATATATATATATATAAGAAATATGATGATACACAGACACAATTATTTTTTATAATTAAAAACTATTATTATTTGAATGGGTAAATATGCAGTCAATTTGGGTGGACCTTATATGACCTCAAATATGAACCATATGAACCAAATTCAGATATAAGTGACAAAGACACAAAAGTGACAAAGACATTTGTAATGTTACAAAAGATTTCTATTTCAATAAATGCTGTTCTTTTGAACGTTCTATTCATCAAAGAATCCTGATAAATAAAAAAAATCTGTATCAGGGTTAATATGGTTAAATATTATGCAGAACAACTGTTTCATCATTGATATTAATAAAATAATGTTTCTTGAGCACCAAATCAGCATTTTAGAATGATTTCTGAAGGATCATGTGACACTGAAGACTGGAGAAATGGCTGCTGAAAATTCAACTTTGTCACCATGGGAATACATATTTTAATATATAATAAAAAATAGGGCTGCACGATAAATCGCATGCGATATTTAACGCGCATCTTGTCAGTAAAGCCGGTTCTTTAATCAGCGATAAATCTCCATCACGTGCGGGCTTTCACATGGAGCAGCATTAACTACACAGAGCCGTTGTTCACCGACAAGCTGCGCAAAACATGCGCAAAATATGATCGTGATTTTGCGCAGCTTGTCGGTGAACAACGGCTCTGTTTAGTTAATGCTGCTCCATGTGAAAGCCCGCACGTGATGGAGATTTATCGCTGATTAAAGAACCGGCTTTACTGACAAGATGTGCGTTAAATATCGCATGCGATTTATCGTGCAGCCCTAATAAAAAATAAAACAATTTCTAAACATTTTGATGTACTAATATTTCACATTTTAAAGGTTTTTACACCAAACAGTTCGTCATATGCTTTGCCTGCACAACTGAATGTCTTTTTACATTTTTTCTATTGTTTATTTTTATTTATTTAATGACAAAGTTACAGAGGAAAGGGACTAGTCTCAGAAAGCACTCGAGCCTGCATCATTTGCATTAGTCCCACAGTTCATCAAAGCAGCACATGCTCAACTAATGGCAGGGCTTTCTGTTTATCTGACCAATGGAAGACCTGTGTTTAGGAACACTAATTGAAAACAAGTCATTATTTTTGTAATTCTGTTTGTTGCCACTAGAGGCACACAACATTTAACAAGTAATGAAAGGTGGGCTAGCACACAACACAAACTCATTCAGCTGGAGGCTGTGAGGCTTATCACAGACGCATTAACATTCAGAGATGGCCTACTACACAATCACCATGGGAATACATATTTTAATATATAATAAAAAATAGGGCTGCACGATAAATCGCATGCGATATTTAACGCGCATCTTGTCAGTAAAGCCGGTTCTTTAATCAGCGATAAATCTCCATCACGTGCGGGCTTTCACATGGAGCAGCATTAACTACACAGAGCCGTTGTTCACCGACAAGCTGCGCAAAA